TGCAGGCAATCACGGCCACTTCCCCTGTTCGCTCCTCATTCTGTCTCCACCACAGACACTGAGAGCTCTTCCCTCGGCCTTAAATACATGTAACTGCTTCTGGTGCCAGTAAAAGGTATTAATTCCACTTATGCATTCCATAAACTTTTAGGATAACGCAATTGATACTGTGATCATGTCGGGACACATCCACTATTATTTTCCTGCTCGCAAACCTCCGAGGGGCTGGAAAGTTTTCTCCCGAATCCATTAATGTTGACTCAGCCACATTCTGCCAGGAACCCCGTGGAGAACCTTTGTGTCTCCCGCCTGCCTTCCACAGGAGCCTCCTGGGCCAGGAGGGTGGCGCTCACGCTGCGTGAGCTGGCTGGCCCCCAAGACGGACAGACTGACGCTCGTGTGTGGGGAGGCTGGAGGTCATTCAGGGGGCTGTGTCCAGGCCCCCCCGGGGACTAGCTGAGCCCTCACGCCACGTGCACCCTCACCATCACGCCTCACGCTACCCAGCTGGGCCGGGGCTCCGACTGTCCCAAGCCTCTTGCCTGACCTCGGACCCCCCTCCCAAACCTACCAAACCCCAAGGACAGCCCTCTTCCCTGGCGAGGCCCAGCCTAGGAGCCGGGGGAGACTGAGCTGGGCTGGACAGCATCCAGATGCCCCTCTCATCGGCTGCTCCTCCAGGCTCCTGGGACCAGCCGTCCGTGTCACCGCCAATCCCTGGGGGGCTGCGGGGTGAGAGTGGCCGTCAGGGCCCAGAGGCCAGGCTGGAGGGTGCTGGGGAGGGCTTGGGACAGCGACAAAGGCACAGTCACTGCCATCGCCGGCCGGGCTCCACCGTCCGCCGGTCCAAAGAGCATCAGCGCCCCCGGGTGCCAGCCTTCACTCGCCGCCCTGACCTTTTCGATGTAGGTCTCTCCTTGACGCCCCCAGAGCCCCGAGGAGCGCCGACACGGGACAGGCCCTCACCAGGACGGCTCAACAGCAGCGGTTTGTGGGGCGCTCCCCGGGCTCCAGGCCCCGTTAGAAGTGGTCCCAGGAGGCAGCTCATTTGTCCTGTCACGACCGTACCCTCAGACCCAGGCCCAGAGGAGTGCAACAGACCCCAGACCTGGACCCCGCCAGCCAAACTCCCACCTCGGCCCGTCCCTGGCCCCCAGTTTATAATCTTGGAGGCTGAACACACATCCCTTGTCTGCTCAGTTGTGCTTGACCCGCCGGTCCTGGCCTGTGGGCGGGAGGGGTTGTCAGAACCCTGGGTCCCGGGACCAGAAGAGGCTGCACATGTGCACATGTGTTTGTGTATGCCTGTGCACGTCTGCGTGTCCCTGTCTTCACGCGTGTGCAAGGTGTTTCCGTATGTGCATCTGCGTGTGGCACGCATGCCTGTGAGCTGAGGGCTCTCCTCGGTGCCCAAGGAGCATGGATGTGAGATGTGGGGGTGCTCGCAGGGGGCCTCGGCCAGGCACAGGCCAAAGACCCCATTAACAGCTGCGGTCCCTTGGGGACTTGGTGAGGGTGTTTTTTCCGAGCGGGGACAGGAGTGAAGGCAACAGTCAATTTGGAATTGTACTTGAGAAAAATATGAATTATCTATCAGTTACCAGGCATCCGGCACGGCGGGAGCCACGCACAGCGCGGTGCGGAGCCCAGACAGCGCGCCCGGGAAGCAAGTCCGGGCAGCGCCCGCGCAGCCAGACCCCCAGAGCTGCGAGCAGGCGGGCGGCTGGGCAGTCCCCGTCCTGCACCGTGATCCCGGGCAGGGAAAGGAGCCTACGGGGGGTCTTCTCCCAGAGAGCCAAGGTGCCAAAAATCTCATTATCAACGTCTGTCCCACCTCCACCCCCTGAGCTGACGAGGTCTGGGTGGGGGGGGGGGGGGGAGCGTGTGCGCCAACAACAGCACCTCCTTCTCAGAGCAGCCACACGAAAGCAGAGGGCCCAGACAGGGAGGTGGGGATTGGGGCTCGGGCACGTGGGGCAGGGTTGGTCAGGGCTTGTGGGCAGAGCCGCTGGGCAAAGGTAAGCCCTCCCCTGCCCTCTGGTGTGGCTGGCCGGGGCAGGCCACTCCATGGGGCCACTTAGGGGCAGACAACTGTGACCCAGCCATGGGCTTTCCACCCTTAATGTCACTCCCCTGCCAGGGGAGGTGGGGACAGAGGCCCCAGGGGGGGGGGGGGGGGGGGGGGACAGCCAGCCGAGGCGCAGCCTCTGTCCCTTCCTGAGGACCAGCTCAGACCATCCAAGGCACTCCAAGTCCCCCAAGACACTGCAGAGACCCCTCCTGCCTCCTCAAACAGTGGAGAGGAAGACAGCCGGGACCCCCCTCCAGTGCTTGCCAAGATTCCTAGGGGTCCGGCAGCTCAGGCTTGGGTGACAGCATTGGTGCAGGAGGCTGGGACCCTCCCCCAAGAGGCTGCAGGAAGGGCTTGGGGAACGGTATGAACATGGAGTAGGAGTGGTAGTGAGCCTCCTGTCACCAGAGGTGTGCTAGTGTGGGGATGCCTCAGAAGCCTCCTGACCTGGCTTACAGTCACCCAGTCAAACCTCAAATCGGGGTGGGAGGACCAGGACCCCGCAGGCAGTAAGAGAACCCTCTAGCACCTGCAGCTTCAGAACCTCACCCAGGAGGACCAGCTCTATGGCACCCCATCCCCAGCTCCGCTGCTAAGGTGACGCACTGCTCCTACTGGGCCAGCCCGTGCTGCGTGGGCAACAGCCCTTTAAGCCTTACCACCAGCGACAAGGAACACCGCAGGAAAAAGTCGCAAATGAGGAAAACTGGGCGCCCACGGGGTGGGAGCCCCAGACCAGCGATGGGTCAGCAGCTGGGGCGTCAGGGGGAGCTGTGACTTGGAAGCCAGACCCAGACTGGCCCCTGCAGAGCCTGACCAGCTCCCTGTGGTTCCACCCCACCCCCACCCGCAGAAGCCTGAGAAACAGCCCAGCAGGGCAGTGGGGATCATGGGGCCCCTCCCCCCCCTTAAAGCAGCAGAGCCCCCGGGTCACCTGCTTGGTGCTCCTGAAGGGACACAGCCACCCTGCCTGGAGACTTCCCTGTTCCAGGGTCCTGTTTCCACGGACTGGGGGAGACCATGGAGCTGCTGTCCCCTGCAGGAGGTGACGCTGTCCCGTGACCAGGACCCCCTAGATGTGTCCGGGGTAGGTACTGGGCAAGGCTCACTGTCCTTGTCCTCTAGGGGGGGACAGGTGACCTGCCAATGCCCTGCGTGCCCTACCCTCAGAGGAAAGCCTGTGGTCTGTCCTGGGGATCTCCGGGTCCCTGCTGCGTCTCTGCCCCCGTGGGCATGCCTGGCAGCCCCTTCCTCTCGCAGCCGCAGCAGCGCGTTTCAGCGATTAGGACTGTAACCCCAGTGACCCCACGACCGGGAAGCCGGCCACGGGGTTCCCTGCTGGCCCTTACTAACGGCGTAACTCTGAGAGAGCTATGTTCCCTCCGGTGCCTCCTTCCTTGGCTGTAAAATGGGACGATAACAGATTCTATCTCGTGCGTTGCTGGGTGGTTTCTAGAGTAAACCCGAAGCACCGGTGGGTGTGCGGGATGCCATCCGAGCTGGCAACGTCCCCACCAGGGGCCAGGATGCCCCCAAGCACGGGCGCCAAAGACCCGAGTCCGCACAGCTGCCGACCCAGCCCTGACGTCCCGGTCTCACACCCACGCTCACAGACGACAACCCAGAGACTGTGCGGGCACAGCCCAAGCCCGCCAACCGCTGGACTCCGGACCTCCCCGCCGCCCCGCACCACCCGCAGGAAGTGGCCTCTGCAGACCCCCGGGGGGGGGGGGCCGATCCACGCGCCTCCTGCTCACCCAGGACACGACGCAAACCCCACCGGGGTGCGGGGACGCCTGGCGGGTCTCCCTGAGGATGGTCTGCCCCTCTGGGGCCCCGCGGAGGCTGGCCGCTCTGGTCGCGTCCGTCCGAGGGGTGGGCACGCCCAGACTGCCCAGCCCCAGACCCGCCTCCTGCCCGATGCTCCTCCCGGAGGCGGCCGGGAACCCCGCGCGCGGACACCCACCCGGCCGGCCGGCCGGCCGCCCGCCCGGGGGCCATCACCCCTCCCCGGCCCGCACCCCGCAGGCGCCCCTGGGAGCGGACGCACAACTCACCGTCCAGGTGGCCGACTTGGCCGTGCTCGACTGCTGGAAGGTAACGTCGAAGTGGTGGGGGCCGGGGTAGTCGGCGTTGGAGGGGATGGCCGGTGCCGGCGACATGGTGTCGAAGGTGGAGCTGGGCTGCGCGTAGGGCGAGTGGGTGGGCACGCTGGCGGCGTGCTCCGGGGTGTAGGGGCTGGCCGAGGCCGCTCGGCTGCTCATCTGGTCCATGGTGCTGTTCAGCAGATTGAACTGGGGCTAACGTGGGAAGGGGGAGGGAGGGGGACACACAGTCAGGCCGGAGAGTGGAAACGCGCGGCCAGAGGTGTCCTGTTACAGGAGACTTAAAGGGCCAGCAGCTCAGTCATCCCAAATATTTCCCCGTCCCCCCCCCCACCGCCCGACAGGTCACTGCTTGTGTTGGGATAAACTGACATATTCACCTCGCCTCCCCCCTCCATCGGCTCCGGGTGCCAGGGTTTCCGGGGCTCCACCAAGCACACCTGGAGGGAGCTGCTGGTGGGGGTGGCTCCCGGCCCTCCGGACCCTCTCACAGGCCAGCAGACTCCGCGGCACTCTCCAGGGGGCGGTATCCAGCCGGACACCCTCGCCTCCCACCCTGTGTTCTGGCCAGAAGCGGGGAGACCCCAGGCCCAGGGAGCCCGACTGTGGGAGAGGCGGGCCCGCCAGAGGGTGGCCCCAGCGTGTGGGGCCCATAGTCCCCTCCTACTGGTCCACATCCTAACCCTCACCCGGGAGCCCAGCCCGTCCCCCCACCCCCACCCCCACAGGAGGAACAGGGACTCTAAGCTGTACTGTGTGTGTGCACCCCCAGCTCACCCCGTTGGGGTCCCAGGACCCCGAGATGGGCCAGCCCCTGCCTGGGGCTTCAGAAGGCCCCAGCAAGGGGACCAGCCCAATCTAGGGCAGATCAGACTCCTCCTGAAGGGCCGGCAAGGAAGACGCCTTTCCCAATCTGGAGGCTTCGAGCGGCAGGTGGGCTGACAGAGCAAAGAGCAGCTGATATTGGTCAGAAGGGCTCCTACCTGCAAACCTGTGAGCTGCTCTCTGTGCCAGGACGGCGGCGAGGTTTACTGTAATCCTCTCTAGGAGCCCGAGGTGGACACTGCCATTATCGCGCTTCTCAGACGGGGACACTGAGGCACGTAGAGGGAGTGACCGGCCTGGGGTGAGGCAGTGGCCCCGAGAGCCCCGGACACGGGTGGGGATGGTGGCAACTGCGGGCAGAGGGCCTGGGGTCCCCCTGGGGGGCAGTGACAGACCAGCAGCAAGCGTGGGGTGGAGGGCTTGCCCTGCAGCCCCCGCCTCACCAGCCTGCCTTCTCCAAATTGCAAAGCACAGGGGTGCATCCCCCAGGGGGACCGGCTGTTCAGCCCCTCTCTGCCTCCTCCATCAGGAGAGAGGTGTGCATAACCCAGAGCCCCTCCAGCTCAGCATCCGTCTGGAAAGCACACGTTCCCCCATCGGGCCTGCTGGTGACAAGGGTCCTTGGAGCCTCTACTGAAGAAGGTGACAGGTGGCCATGGCTTCGTGGCTCCTGGAGCCCAGGATGCTCCAGCCCCCAGGGGACAGCCACCTGAGCCCCCCCCCCCCCCCCGCCCCCGGCTGAAACTGCCATCAGACGGACCCCTCGGGCAGGCCTCAGGCCTTTTCCGTTTGGACCTCCGGAGCCGTGGCCCGCTGTGAACCTGGGGAAGGGCCGGCAGCGGGACAGGGGGGCAGCGGGACGGGGGACCCCTGCAGGGCAACTGCAGAGGCCTCCTTCCCCGCTCTGGCTCCCCACAGCCTTCCGTGCCTTCACCTGTCAACCTGGGAGGCCCCGGCACCCAAATGAGCAAACTGTGGGGTCCGTCTGAGGGAGCAGTGGGACACAACCATTCCGGAGTCAGACACGCCCTACAGGGAGCACCACCAGCGAGGGCACAAAGCCAGCCACAAACGCGAGTATGCCTGCCGTGGGGTCCCCGCTGACGGCCGGCCGAGTCCAGCCAGAGGCAGAGCCGTTGGCCACCAGGGCCTGGGTGGGGCTGGGGGCGGAGGCTAAGGGGCAGCTGGTTTCCTTTGGAGGTGATGAAGAGGTTCTAAAATTCACCGTCAAGGCGGGTACACACAGCTGTGAATATACGCAAACCCACTGAATTGCACACTTGAAATGGGTGAATTGTGTGTCAGGTAAAATGTAAGTCAATCAAGCTGTTTAAAACAAAACAACTGGGGACCGGCTCCTCCCCTCTCCTGGCCCAGCAGGGGTGGGGGGCAGGGGCGGGGAGGAGAGCAAGCCTCCGCGCTCCACGTGGGGCCCCGGCCGGGGACCACGGCGTGCCCTCACAGCCGAGGCAGCTGCTGTGGGCGTGGGCGCCCCGACTCCACACGCTTGGCCACGAGAACATAAAGGGCAGAATCCGGCTCACGATTTCACGTTCAGCACGCGCCGAAACGGGCACCGTTTCCCATAAGTGAGATAAAGTGTTAAGTTACTTCCACGGGTTGCTTTTCACCGTTTGTTTTTCGACGTGGCTACTGGAAATCACACGTGCAGCTCACAGCCATCTGCTCCGGGCCGGGCCAGAGCCCAGGCCGCCAGGGGCTCACGGCATTCCGGAGGCTGCCACCTTCCCCAGCATCACAACCGCTGCGATCAGCAGCCCGGCCCCTGTCGGGGTACCACGGGCTGTCATGACAGAGTGCTTCCCGAGAGGCCTGCTGAGCGGGCGAGTGAGTGAGTGAGTGAGTGAATGAATGAATGAATGACGGAGCGTGGGTGTGCCAGGCAATAGGAGGTCTCCCCCGGACCGATGCCCGGGATTGAAGGCCAGGTGGGAAGCCGGCCCTCCCACTCAAGGAGGCTGAGAGCCCACCGGGTCCGGGGGGGAGGGCGGGGGTCCCAGCCTGCACCCTCCTCCCCAGGCTCCGTGACCTCTCTCTTCCCTCCCAGGTGACCAGCCGTGGCCCTGGGGAGCGTCTGCCATGTTGCCAGTTGCGCCCTGGGCGACTGAAGGGCGGTGGGAGCCTCAGGGAGCACGGCACAACCCGGGGTGCAGGTCTGTCCCCCTCCCCGCCCCCTCCCACCGGGACGGCCCAGGCCAGCAGGGCAAAGGGCCCCCACGGCCCCCCCCTCCCAGAAATGAGAGACAGCCCCACGACGACAACAACGTTGTTCAGATTTTAACTTGTCCACATTCTTTACCAATCTGCGGCGGGTGCCAGGGAATTAGTCACTGAACCAAAAGAGCAAGGCTGATAGCATCGTGTACCCAGCAGCCACAAGGGGCAGGGCCCGTGTGCGGGAGCCCTGGTGAGCGGGAAGGGAGCGCTCTGCACATCGGGCGGGCGCCTCAGACAAGCTCCCTCTGTCTGCCCACGAGCCAGCCAGTGGCCTGTGCTCGCCCTCCTCCCTCCGGCCCCGTGACTCCGTGGCATTTTGTGGTCCAGCTTCCTGGGGAGCGCCCCTCCTCCCTAGGAGAGCGTCGGGCCCCTCTGCGGGGCCAGGGCCATCCCTGCTACCCTTCCTCTGAGTCCTGCTTCCCCAGGGACACCTGCGCCCACACCCCCAGGAAATGGCAGAGGGCAGAGGTTTCTGTCCGGTTTGCTTTGTGCCGTTTCCGCTTTGCTGCAGGGAACCCCGCTGCTTAGGAAGTGGGGCGGCTTTTGCATGGCTCCCGAAAGGTCCTTCCTTCCTTCCCTTTGCATTCCTTCCCAGCCGGATGGGGTGCACTGCACCCTGGGGACCAGCCCCACCCCGACCTCGCTGTCCAAACTGGGCCCAGCGCAGCCACAGAGAAGCCTGGGGTGCCCTTCGTCCAGACCGGAGGCCCCTGGCAGCGGGAGGAACCCCGGGCAAAACCAGGACTTTTTTGGTTTGTTTGCTTTCAAGCAGAACTCCCAAGAGAGCGGGCTGATTAGGACATGCCCAGCCCGGGGCGGCCCGCATGTGCCTACATGTGCGTGCAGGGCTCCTGGGCCCGACCCAAGCAGGGCTGCGGGCGGGCGGGCGGCTTCCCCTCCAGGTCCCGCGGAGGATGCACTGGGCCCGGGCTCCCGGAGGGGCTGGGGCCGGGGGAGTACATCTCCCCCCAGATCCTCAGTGTGCCCTGCTGGATCCTGGCGGATGGCCTGGGGGCTCCTCCCACCAGGGCCAGATAGGCCCCCCAACACAGTCTCTGTCCATTTGCTCCACAAACATGTTTTCTGGTGCTCTCTGCTGACTTGGAGGGGACAGCGGGCAGGGGCAGAGAGGGTGGACGTGCCCTCAGGGTGCAGGCAGTTCTGGCCAGTGCACCAGGGAATCCATCCCACAGCCTCTGGAGGGGGCCAGGCTGGCTCCCAGGGTCAGCACCTCTGGGGCCAGAATCCCAGGCAAGGGCACACATAGGCCTCGGGGCCACACGCCCGAGTGTGCTCACACGCAGGGCCCAGAACACGCGCTGGGAAGGGGCAAGGGGCTTAGACCTCAGGCTGCGGCCTCCAGCAGAGGGAGGAGGCTGCCCGATGGGAGGCCCCACCCCCGGCGTGGAGGTCCTGAACAGTGTCTGTGTCTGGCCCTCTTCTGGGAAAGGAGCTGGTCTCTGGCAGGGACAGCGAGTGGAGTCCCAGGGAAAGGGGGTCCTGCCCCGGGAGCAGTAGGGAGAAGACAGAAGGAACCGCCCTGTGGTGGGGGTGTCCCAGCTTCCAGCCCACCCTGCCCTGCATCCCCATCCTCGGGGCCTCCCCTGTTCTGCAGACCGTGGGGGGCTGTCACAGCACAGGGCAGCAGCAGCAAAGCTTAGCACTGGGCTGGGGGCGGGAGGGGGGTGCATCAAGCTGGGGATGGCTGCACTGTCCTCACACAGCGGGGACACTCACTTTGGCCAGGGTCTCAGGTTTCAGCCCCCGTCCCCTGCCCAGGGGGTAGCGGAGAATGGGGGCTGGGTGTGGGGGTTCAGAGGCCCCGGGAGCCAGGCCCCAGCGCCCCAGGCACCCCCACAGGCAGCAGAGGGTCCGGCCTGCCCACTGGTCCTCCTCTCCCGGGAACCTGAGCTCAGCGCAGCCCTCCAGCCCCTGCCCCACAGGCTAGACCTCGCCGCCCAAGCCCCCAGGGCCGGGGGTCCCCACAGGTGGTCAGGTGGTGGTGCCTGGGCTGGCGATCCCAGAACGCAGGGCTCTCCTGGCCATCCCACTGCCCACCTAACACCCTCCAGAACAGGACTCTCTAATGTGCCCAGGTCCAGGATTAGTGCCGCCCACAAGGACCGTGTCCTGGGGCAGGAGGAGAAGGACAGGAGGGACCCCTCAGGTCCAGCAGGGTAGAGCAGGGCTCCGAGGTCTGCAGACCCAGCCGGGACTCCACCGCTCTCGGCCTCAGCTTTCTATTACAAAGTAGGGGTGAAGCCATCCATAGGACCGCTGTGGGGATCAGGAGGGTCCAGGAAGGCCATAACCTGTGACTGTACATCAGGAGGAATGACCCCTGCCCAGGGGGCCCGCCCAGAGCCAGGGAGCCGACCGAGCTGGACACACTCCTCTCCCCTCCCCCTCCTCCGCACAAAGGCCCAACAAGGTAGGGGCTGCAGGGAGACAAGCTGGGCCACCCCCAGACCCTCCCCACTCAGAGTTCAGGGCCGAGCGCCAGGCACAGGGATGGGGTGAGCGGGGAGGCCCCCGTGCCCCAGAGAGGCCACATCCCACCATCCCGTCGCGCCCAGCCCCAGACTGGAGGCTCAGAAAACTCTGGGCTGAAGGAAACGGACCCTGGAAGTCAGCACACACGCGGGCCCGCAGCTCCGCTCTTGCCCTGGGTGCTCTTTGGGGTCCAAGGCGGGTCCTGCCTCCGGGAGCGGCCACAACGCATGGCCGGGTTTGCGCTTGGAGAAGATTCTCATTTTATGTGTTCATTGACAATCGGTAAACCATCTCAAGCGGGTTTTGGGGATGTGGATGGAAAGCAAACTGCTCTTAAAGTTTGTGTGCTGGTTGCCTCAGCCTCCCCTCCCTTCCCAGCACCCACGGCTAGTAAGACGGGAGGGAAAGTCAGGAGCACAGACCGGCTGTGAGCACGCGGCCCGCGACCAAGTGCAGCTGCCACACGCAGGATCCCCCGGGTGGACCCTATTTTTCTAGCAAAAGTCGTAACAGGAAACCTCGTCAGTAGAACTTCGACGACTCTTCTTATGTCCCCAGAGGCTCAGTTCCAGGCTGACTCACTTAGTGGAAGGGACTTGAGGGAGAGAGGAGACCTCCAGACTCGTCCCTGCACCAGGCCAAGCAGGGGCAGTGGGAGACACTGGGCTCAAACACTGATTCAAAAGAGAGAGCCCCTGGGCCTCTGGGGGGGGGGCATTGATAAAGGGTCCCCCAAGGAGCCCCCATCCCAGCCTCCTTTGTACCTCTTGTCCATACCACAGGGCCTTTGCTCCTGCTGTCCTCCTCCTGGAACACTGTCTGTCTCCTTGCCACCTGAAAAGCCTTTCAAGGCTCACCTCCTCTTAGGAGCTTCCCTGGCTCTTTTCACCTGCCTCTGTGTTCTGGGGCTTTCTCTCCCGCTTTTCTGGGTAGTGTGACAAACACCATGACCCACACCCTTGTGGGTGCGTACCTCATGGGTGTCCATTTTCCTTTGGCTTTAACCCCGAAACACAGCTTAACCCCAAAACACTTGACCAACATAGGCTTAGGGGCACCGATACCCCATACGGTCAAAAATGCAAGTATGACTTTTTACTACTAACCTACTGTTGACCAGAAACCTTACCGATACCATAAAGTCACGTAACACAGATTTTGTAAGCCACATGGGTCATATACCGTGTTCTTACTATGAAGTAAGCCAGGGAAAAGAAAATTTTATTAAGAAAATCATAAGGAGGGGTGCCTGGGTGGCTCAGTCGGTTAAGCACCTGACTCTCGATTTCAGCTCGGGTCAGGATCTCACAGTCTAGTGAGTTCAGCACAGAGCCTGCTAGGGATTCTCTCTCTCCCTCTCTCTCTGGAACTTCCCCGCTCACGCTGTCTCTGTCTCTCTCAAAATAAATAAATAACTTGAAAAGCTTTTTTTTTTTTCAATCAAAAGGAAGAGGAAATACATTTCAGTATTGCGCTGTATTTAGTAAGAAACAAAACACAGCCAACAGGACTGAGCTGTTCCAAGCAATGCTACCCAAAGCTCAGCTCTGACTATCTATCCACGCCTCTTGAAAAACCTGCAGCAAAGAGATTCCACAGCTGACCTGGATAAGCTCGTCCAGCATCGTGTACCCTTGACCCTCAGGAAGTTCTTTCTGGACGCTAAAGCCCACTTCCCTCGCTGCATTTCGGGCCGAGGCTGCTCTGAACCGGGAGCAGCAAGTGAAGTCAGCTGCCTGTATCTCTGCTCTGTGACCCCGGCCGGCCTCCTGGGTGTCACTCGGGGGAACCCGAGCGTCCAGAAGGGGAGGCGAGGCTGCAGAGCCGGTCCTATCAGGGTCCTCTATCTGCCCCCTGAGGCTCCTGACCATGGGGAGTGAGGACATCTCCCCAGCACTTCCGAAGAAAGCCGAGAGGTCCAAATGCAACTCGTCACAAAGTCCACCCGTGACCTTCCCAGACGTGGAAGGCGACGATGAACCTGGCCTGAGGCTTCACGGGTTCCTCTCTCCTCCCTCCTTGCCTCCTGCCCTCCCCAGCATGCCTTGCTGGGTCCCGGCGCCCCGCCCCGCCTGCCGTGTCCACTGCTCCCCACGCCTGCGGCACCGCGTGCATCCCGTGCTGCCCGAGGGCCTGGCCAACACGTCTCCCTTCATGGCTGCAGGTGAACAGTCCGGAGGAACAGTCGGCCTTTAGCAGACAGCTGCCCTGGCTTCCCTGGACCCTTCCCCATCCCGTTGGCCAGGTTCTGCCCTCCAGCCTCCAACCTCAGAGCCACCTCCCCCAGGAAGCACCCTGGCCCGGCTGCCCCTCCAGCCAGGAGCTGAGCCCAACAGTAAGACACAGCAACGGGTCCTTTCCCAGGTTGGCGGCCCCGGGGTGGGAACCACGTCACCGTCCGGCTGCGTGGCCCCCGTCTTTGTGGAAAACGGGTGAACGGTGTCGGCCGTGGCTTCCTCATGGGACCACAGTGGATCTGACTGGACAGGTGGATACAAGGGTCTTTACCGGGCCCTCTGCCCAGATGTCCTCCCCAGACCTCCGCTCAGGAGGCTCCCCCGACTCCCCCTCGGATG